GGGGATTCGAACCCGCGACCCTCATATTGCGAGTCGAGCGCCTTAACCACCTGGCCATGCCGGGCCCTGTGTTAGTGTCTCGTATAATTGAAAACAAAACTGAAACATAAACACTGTAAATATTACATTTAATCCCACTGTATTTTACTGCTGGGAGCTTCCAATACATTTTACCCGTATAACGAGTGATTTTTACTTAGTTTTTTGGTCACTTCTTTACACCCAGAGTTGTGAGGGTAGAAACATAAAATGACTAAATATGGGGACCCCACCGGTAGTGAACGGTATATAAACGACTCCGTAAGTTGAGGGTTAAGTTATGATCAACCTTGCTAGTTTTACCATGAAGGGCTACTCTAAGTTTTTCTATAACCCCATTTATTCTAAGATAACTTTTAAACCACACGAGGACCGTATTGTGACTACAAAATGTAACGTAAAGAAAACTAAAAATCTTTATCTGTCGCTTTGAATATTGATCAAGACTGATTACAATTTCTTTCTTTCTTTGTTGTTGCCCCCCAGTGGCACGGCGGTATGTCTGCGGATTTATAACGCTGGAAACCGAGTTTCGATACCTGTGGTGGGCAGAGCACAGATAGCCCATTGTGCAGCTTTGTGCTTAACTTCAAACATAAAACTTCTTTGTTGTTAACCGCAGAACTAAACAACCGGCTATCTGAGTTATATCTACCGCGGGGAATCAAGTCCCGTATCTAAGCTTTATTGCCCCTCAAGCTTACCGATGGGCCACCAGGGGGACACAAATGTCAAGTGAGATCTTGTTTAAGAAAATCAAATTTTATCGTTGCAAATTTAGAAATTCTGAATCATTTATATTTGTGTATTGACTAAGATGAAATGTATTTAAATAACAATATGCTTTCTTTTCCGGGGTGGAATTGGGTGGGGGACGCAAAAGAAAACAGCTATTCAGTGCTCAAACATAAAAAAGAAAAAAAAAACTGTCAAGTCTTCATGGACCACTAAATAAGTTGAGACCGGTGCCAGTTGGTGATTTTTACAGACGAGCTGGTTGTCGCTTCTTCTTCTACACGTGGAAAAAGACCGCAATGAAATGTATGATTGGCGGGAAAAACATGCCAAGAGGGTGCGTTAGAATGTTGGAGACATTTGAAGCTTGCTCCGTGTGTTTTTTTAGACATATTTTCTTCGTTGTAAGAGTTTTGAGTTTGTGTTTGGTCTCGGAAATAAAAACCAAAGGAATTTTTACGTTGTAAACTACATGCAGGAGTAGAGTTCTGGAACATTTTATGCCAACAGTCAGTATACCTACAAGTTGAGCAAGCGCATACACACACACGCACGCCCTCTCTCTCTCTCCGTGATTTTAAAAATTGTTTAATAATTTATCAGCACAGTAAGTGTTGTAAAAAATGTTCTATGCTGGTATATACTATACTTGTATTTTGTTACAAAAAAATGTTATACGGGTACCCAGTATCGCTTCTAAAATCGTTTTGTTAATGCGCACCGACTGAAATTCAACCCTGTATACATGCTGACATTTTGTGATATTTCTGGTGTTTATCTGTTTATCATAGATATTGAGATTTAATTTTGAAAAAAATTAAACACGTCTTTTTAATTTTTAAACTGAAGTTTGCTTTTTCTGGTCTTTTGTTGTCCTTGTTTTCTCAGTGCAAAGCTACACAATGAGCTAATTGCACTCTTTCCATCACGGGGAATCGAACCATGGATTTTAGCGTTATAAATCCACTGACTGACAGAGAGACGAAAAGTTTTGTTTGTTTTGTTTTTGTTAATAAGCACAAAGCCACACAATGAGCTATCTGTGTTTCGCCCATCGCGTGTATCGAAACCTGATTTTTAGCAAGAAGCCCTCAGACTTATCGCTGAGCCACGGGGGCTGCTTTGCGTCAAACTTGATTATTTAGCATCATTAGTATATAGTGGGTTCATGTATAAACAGAAACTGGTCTCTTTTATCAAAACGCAGGCCGCCAACTACTTACTATTATCACACATTTGACAGAGAAGTCTGTCACTTCTCATGGAAGTAACTTTGAGTACCAACAGATTTAGGAGTCTGTTTTTCCTGACCTCAAGTGACGTTCCAAAACAGTTCGTGGTTCGGCATGACCTAGTGGCTAGGGAACTAGACTCTCAATATGTTGGTCGCGGGTTCGAATCCCGTCTCTGAACATACTCGTCCTTTTAGCCATGGAGGCATTATAATGTGACCTTCAATCCCACTATTCGTTGTTAAACGAGTAGCCCAAGAGTTGGCGGTGGTTGGTGTTTACTAGCTGCTTTCCTTCTAGTATATCACTGCTAAATTAGGGATAGCTAGCGCAGATAGCCCTCGAGTAGCTTTGCGCGAAATTAAAACACAAACAAAAGCAGTTTAATTGGCTGTTTGTTGCTCTAAGCTGATCAAACCATTGTCGCTCAAGACAAGTTATATAGCTTGGTACATGATAATGCTAAAGAGAGTGATGGTCCTTTGTTGTCCACCAATGTAAGTAGTAAATCATTACCCATACCATCACATTTGTCAAGGTATTAATAGTCCATTAAAATTTTTATCAGAGGGTCAAGTCCAAACTAAGTCAAATAAACCCACACCATGACACTAACTATTTCTTGTTTCAATGATAATCTATGTTCTGCATTTACAGCTCTGACAAGCGGCTTGTGGGCTGCAGCTCATCAGTGAAATTCTCTGATATGGAGCTCCCCGTGAGTCTGTAGTCTTAGAGTATTTATTCACTAACATATATTAGTAACTGTTTCACCCGGGCCAATATTTTACACCAAAATCCATTTGTTTAGCGCATTACTCACAGTGGCTCCACGTACGAGTTGGCGTGATCTTAGATGTTCATCCTACCAATCCTGCAATCTAGAGACCATTCCATTGAGAGCCGAGTTCCTTCCAGTGTGGAATATCTTCACCTGACTGCAGCAGCGTACCATAGGACTGGTTTACACCTTCGGTGG